CCAATCTCTCACCTCATTTATGTGGATGACATCATTATCTTCACTCGCGTAGATGATGATGGACCGGTAGAGCTTATGCACCTTTTGTAGCACTATGTCTCGGTCTCCAGTTAGCTTGTCAGCGTGCGGAAGAGCACTTTCATTCTATCCCACCTATTGTGGATCGGTAGGCACCGCGGGTCCACGAGCGTACTTGTTTCGCATGCGGCGACCTGCCCATCACCTACTTGAGCACTCCTTTGTACAAGGGCCATCTCATGAGAGCGCATATTGCAGACATCAGGCAAAAGATGATCAATCTTTGGGTCGGCTCGCTTTGATCAAAAGTACCCTCAGCGCCCTTCCGATTCTCTTAATAGCCCTTGATCCCCGTAAGTCCACTCTCCATGAGCTCGATCAGATCATGGCTCATTATTTTTTGGGACACGGGGAGGGCTCTCGATAGAGGAGACAACACCACTGGGTGAAGTGGGACTTCGTTTGCCGTCTTTTTTCTGAATTGGGATTCACCACTTTTCAGACATTGTCACCGCCTTCTCTTACAAGATGTGTTGGCACTTCAGGGAAGAAAAGTCGCTTTCGGCCCAGTACCTTTGCGGGAAGTACTGCCCTAGAAGTGCATGTCATCCCTGCAGGGTGACGACCACCAATCGAGATAATAGACAGTGGAAGTTGCTCACCAGAGTAGGTAGGAGTGCCTAGGAGCACATATTCTGGTTGCTGGATGAGGGGATGTTAGCTTTTGGGACAAGTGGTGGTTTGGTGATGGGCCCTTTTCGATCTTTAGGCAGGTCATTCGTTCCCCTTCCCTACGGGTGAAGGATTTGTTGGCCAATGGGACGTGGGATAGGGATAGGTTAGAAAGGGTTTTGGGTACTCGAGCGGGCTTTACTGACAACCTTTTCGAGTAGATCCAACAGATTCCCATCTCGGAGGACGATTTAGACGATATGAGGTGGAGACTTACATCTTCAGGTGTTTTCTCTACGTCCTCGGCTTTGGGGAAATTTGGCAGGGTGACCGGCTAAACCTTCTCTTAGGGGCCATTTGGACCGACCTCCTTACCCCGACCATCTTTGTCTTCCTTGGCACCTTCTTTTTGCGCCGGATTCTTTCTCTTCCCTCGTGGTGTTAATGTTGTACCAAGACTAGTGATTTTCAGACTGTAACCTTTTCCCATATGTTTTTAGAGAGCAAGGTGGCGAGGAGAGTGTGAGAGCATTTTTCCACTTATACTCATATACCCCTTCACACTACAAACAATTTCTTTGTGCTCTTGAGTTTTTTCTCATAGCGCACACACTTTAGACAAGTGGGTTTCCTCATTCCTTGTCTAATGCTGTATTTCATATGAATAGAGAGAAATAGTGTGAAGCATAGGGATATTATTTTTATGAGCTCTTACATTGTTTTGCAGGTGGATCGACATCTCTCCCTCCCCACTGCTTTGGCAGACTCATGCCTAGAGAGTGGACAGGCTGCACTCATCCCACTGTTTCATGCTACCTCCACTGCCGCATGTCCAACACCCACGACCCAGAGCCGTTGTTTGGTTGTCAGACCTTGAGGGGTGTAATGGTGGTTCGTTTGTCCTATGAGGGACCCTTGGTAGTGTTATTGAACTTCTTCCCACAAGACTTATTTTTGTACAACTTCCAATGCATTTATCCATAGTTCCTGGTAATCAAGGCAAACGTTTCCCTGAATTCAACATCTTTCTTTAATGAACCTCCTTCCTCGTCACTTTCTCCAGCTTGAGAAATTACAGCCACCTTCAGGGACAGACGTCTATTCTTGACCTTGTCATAGTTGTTGTTGATCTCAATTGTTCTCAGATCACCAAGCAGGTCATCTAGGTCAAGAGGCTTGATTCATTGAAAACATTTAAGTGTCGTGATACTTTCACGAAATCGGGCAGGGAGTGTCTTCATGAATTTTTGAACTTGAAGAGCTTTTGATATGTCTTCTCCCAAAATTTCACTCTGATTAACGAGATCACAGAACCTCGGATAGTATATGTCGATTGTTTATCCTCCTTCATTTTGATGTCATCAAAGGCAAAATTACTCGCTGAAGTTTTAAAAGACTTGACAGCCTTTGACCCTTCGAACTAATGTTCTAAAATACACCAAACATCCTTGGCAGTCCTACATTGAACTATCATCTTGTGCCATGTTTGATCAACGAGCATCATAGCTACGTAGAAGGCTTGAAAGTTCGCCTCTTCTTGCATGCACTCCAGATTTGTCCCAGTGTCTCTTGGTTTGGGAACTTCATCAACTGCATCTTGATGTCCACTGTCTAGTGCTTTTCTTATTATTGGATGTTTCCACTGATTCTCAATGCCATGCTCCTTTTCTCAGGGAGCGCAAAAAGATGATGATCATCAACTTCTAGTAAAAATGATTCAAGGGGTCTAGTTGCAGAGGTCTCGACATAGATCCACCTTTGTGATTCATGATTGCCCACATACAAGTCCACAGAATCTTCGTAAAAATGAACGAAAACTCGCTTTAGTTCCAATTGAAATTTTGGGGAGATACAAAATTACGTTTAAGTAATAAAAAATGAACGTTAACTCAGTTGCAGAAGCAAATCATACAAAACATGAATCTTCAGGAGAGGATCCCACTCTCCCTCGGAACTCTTTCATTCAAATAAGTGTTCGGTCAATACAATTGGAATTTACTACAAATATTCCCTCTTTCTAACCTACGCCGTATACACTTATCTAACTACTTTTTCGGCCACTCCTTGCGGACTTAGACTCAACAAGGATCCCATCCTGCACTCGATAGATTCTCAGCCCAAGAACCTTGAAATATATAACAAAGTATATAATTCAAAACCAGAGATCACCTCTAATTTGAATAATCACTCAGAACAATTAAAACTGAGTAGAGAATACTTGTAGACTTCTTTGCTCTCACTCACACTCTGCTAAAAAACAATATGCAATACTCATACTTTTTACTAAATGTGTGCAACATTATATTCTCAATGCATATGGTAAGTTTGTTCTTCAGCTGTTTTCCATAAATAGTCACCCTTCAATTTTGCATCCAGATTCCTTCTATCTCCTCACATATCTCATTCCTCCATATAAGGTAAGTCCATGTCAATCCGCATGTCACTAAGTCCGTCTTGCCCAGAAGTCATCTCGTCATTCATAGATGGTAAGCCCAATTTATATCATTGTCTAGTTTTAATCACAGACTTACCATACCTGCAAAATAAATGAATTATAAGTCCATAATTATCTAATTTGTTATAATTATAACGTGAATAATATCAAATCAACTTTTCTTATATTTCTCGTAGATTGCCTTCTTAAAATTAACTTACGGATTTAGAATTTTATAATTTAATGCCAAAATACGTATTTATACAAGTCCATTTGTCTGAATAAGACGATGAAGGCGAAACCACGAGTGAAAAATTTGAGTGTTTGCTTCCACCCTCATTTACATATGTATTTTAAGGAGTTTTGTCTTTCTTCTTTAACTTAAATAATTTTTTTTCTAATGCCCATTCTCGTGGCAGCGCACTCATCTTTCTTAAATTTGGCCTTGAAACGTGATATATTTCATTTATTTTTCTTTTATCTATTCGTCACACCAGTTACAACTAACACTTCGTCTTCTTGGGGTAAATATTACGTCTTTTATTTGTTCTTTTCCTCATTTCATAGTTACATAGAACATAACTGACCACAAGAAGAGTTAAATTGACTTTTCCATAAAGTAGAGTATTCTCCAAGTGCTCAAACATACCGAAAAGAGATGATAAAAAATTAGAGGTAAAATTTTATTGTTGGATGTGACGTCCGTATTCAACAAATATGCAACCAACTTATTAAATAAAGCGACTTGGTTATTCATTGATGTGTCCTGCCGGTGCTCAGATTAAAGAAACCGTTTTTTCACGAATGCTTATTTTGACTACTATATTTTAAAATTTTGTCATCCAAAGCCTTTCACAATGTGTGAGCAGAGTTTTCTTTCTTAAACGCATAATTTTTGCCCTCTGGACAAACCCAAATGGATTTTTTTGCATGGAAAGTGTTTGATACTCTTTTAATCATTCTCATCAATGTTCTCGGACATTTCTTCTTCAATGGATATGTCGACACCTTACTGAATGAAACAATCTTGCACCTTGCCTTGCCACGTGTTGAAATGATCATTATCATCTAATATCTTCACCATAAGTTTGAAGTTCGACATCACTATCCTTCCTAGAATGAATGATGATAATGCACCATTGGTTTCTTTGATCATCTCTAACTCGAACGCAATACTCGTACCATAGAATGAACCTTGGGCGAACCTTCGGCACTGATACGCTTATTGGGGGCAGTACAACACATATCAGACAAAAATAACTTCATAGCAAATATAATAAACACTACTACAATCGAAAATAAGGCAAATAAAAAATGGTGAGAAATAAAATAACGCACCAATTTAAATCCAAAATTCGGTCAATTTTCTACGTGGCACCGTGATTCACAAGGCCAACATCACTAATTTCACCAACATCACAAATTAAGGGCATGCTTGTTTACCAAATAATCCATTCAAAATGAATTATTTTGGTTAACTAAAGTTAATTTTGAAAAAAATGGTATGATTAGTTGTTAGTGGGATTTAAAAAATGTATTAAAATAATATTTAAAATATAATGATTAATTTTGATTTGATATAAAAGTAGGAGATAAATGATTGAGAATGATAGATAGTTAGAATTATGTGAGTAGATGAATTATGGTTAAAGTTGATGTGATGTGTAATAATGATTAGTTTGTATTATTTAATTATATGAATAATATTAAAGATAATGCGGTTGAATTAAAGTTGAATTACATTTTAAGTATAAATTAAATATGAGTAAATTATTTGATAATTGATAAACAAGCATGCTCTAATAGTTACTTTATTAACGGGTAGCGTATAAAAATAAAGAGAATAGAATGAGTTCCAATTATAATAAAAAATTAACTATCTATTTATGCTAAAAAAGTTCTACATATTGTTGTAAAAAAATTAGTAGAAAATCAACAATCCGTACATCAATTAATCATAATAAATCATAATAAAAAACATTTATAATGGAATTTGAGGAGTGAGCGCGTGCGCTATGAATGATACTAAAAAAAACCTGCAATTCGTCGTCGACAAGGCTAATTACACCCCAAATTGCAAATATGAAATATCATATTGTTAAAATTTCGCTAATCAACCTTTCCAAATTCCGAGACGACGAGCCACCGGCGGCAACGGCCGCCGCTGCCTTCTCTCTCCACTCAGCAGCCTTTTCCCTCATCATCTTACCTCTATCCCCGCCCAACAGTTCTCTCACCAGAAACCCTACTTCATCTCTCCTCACATCGTCCCCGATTTCCATCCCGACACCCCATACCTCGCACGTGTACCTGCAATTCAGCTTCTGGTCGGCGAAAAACGGCCAGCAAAGCATCGGTACACCACTACACAAGCTCTCCACAATCGAATTCCAGCCGCAATGCGTCAAAAATCCTCCCACGGCAGGGTGGCGGAGGACCTCCTCCTGCGGCGCCCACCCGGCGACGAAGCCTCTATTCCCAACCTCCGCCCAGAACTCCGGCGGCAGAGCGGCGGCCTCCCCGCGGACCAGATCCGGCCGGACTATCCACAGGAAACTCTTCCCGCTTCCTGCAAGTCCCCAGGCAAACTCACTAAGCTGTTTTGGATCTAAAACAGTAATGCTTCCGAAATTGACGTAGACGACAGAGTTTTCGGGTTGGGATCCGAGCCAGTCGAGGCAGGCCCGATCTTCTTTCCAGAGGCTCAATCCGACCGATTTCAGAGCGTTGTCTGCCGGAAGTTGGTCTAGGAGGAGGTGGAGGGATCCGACGGTGTGGATTTGGGGGCAGATGGAGGAGAGAGAAGCCAAAACGTTTTGCTCCAGTGCATCTATGGTGTTGATGACTATGGCTGCTGCTTTTGATGATTGAGCATATGCTGTTATGACGAAGTCCAGCATGGGATCTTTTGGATCAGTGGTTTGAATGGTGCTTGAGAAATGCTTGAGGCGCAGAGGAATCACACCTGGAATCCAATCTATTGGAGTTTCCAGGTATCCATTTTCCAAACAGCTCTTGTCTGCAACATCAACTGGGTTCTCAATTGGATCTACTTTTATTTATATGTACGATATTATTTGAGATACGAAAAATAGGGACGATATCTGGAGGGCTTTGAGGTGCTAATATGTTTGAACTTTGAACCCACATACATACATGATCCAAATATGGTAGTGTTTGCCTACACCATGCCTTTGCTAAAGCAAATTAGAAGCTTTTGTTAGAATTGAGCATTTGACCTTTCGATTTCATTCAGGTAAAGTGCGGAAGCCGAAGACGAAAGGATGGATAAGTTGAACACAATGGTTTATTTCTTTCTCGGACCAGGACTACTTTATAGTGTTTTAAGATGCCAACTTTTCCTTCAAGTTTTGCATAATTCAGTGTGAAGTTGAAAGCAGGGAATAGGTGTAGACTTGTTATTCTTGGCTTCCTGCTATTTATTTTGACATTCAATTGACATTTAGATTATATCAAGCACTACCTTAGTTAGTATGATGAACCAGAAATGGAAAATAAACAGGACCTTTGTTGGCAATTGCACACACACACACACACACACAAAAACAAAAAACTCACAAACTACCTTTTAGAGGTATGATTCCTTTTTCGACAAGATGCACGACGTATTTATTGCACATGAGGCTAACCGCACTAGCTGTCTGCAGCATAACACATGGAACTCCGACCCGCTCGGCCGCATCCAGCGCGAAATCCATTGCGGTGTCTGCTATAACACAGGTGACAGGTGGCACGTCCGAGTTGAGATTGTGTATGAGTTCGTTAAGTGGCGCCAGACAGTTGTCTCTGGTAGAGAGACATAAAGATCTGATGTCCTGGGTGGAGTTTGCGGCATTCTCTGGCTGCGTAGGGAGGCCTTCGGGTATGGAGACAAACCGGAAGGTCGGGTGGGAAGGTAGGGGGCCGTGGGATTGGTGGAGGCGAGTGAGGTTGTAATGGGTGTGGACAAAGGTTATGCGGACGCCCTTATGGTGGAGGAGTATAGCCAGCCTTAGCATGGGGTTGATGTGCCCTTGAGCCGGAAAAGGTACGCAGATTGCATGAGGTACCTTTTGTGTTCTGTTCTCTGATGCCGATCCCATCACTGCTCTGAGCGGT